TGAGGCAGCACTAGTCGATTGGATCCCCATTAACAGTCGGCTATGTGCTGTTAGATTAGAAAGTTCCATCAAAGTGAGAAATCGGCATGAGAAACGATGTCTTTTCGTCATCTCCGCTTATGCCCTGACAGATTACAGCCCTGAAGCGATCAAGGATGAATTTTACAACCAGTTAACTGTTCTCTTCCAGAAAGTGCGTTCAACAGACATTGTAGTACTAGCTGGAGACTTGAATGCTCAGGTCGGGCGTCTAGGCACAGAAGAGAATCGTTTAGGTGGCCGATTGGGACGTATTGGTCGCAGGACAGATAACGGGGACCGTCTACTGCAACTGTGCACATACCACAACCCGTTTCTGGCTAGCACTAACTTTCGGCACAGTCATCGCCTATGTGCCACCTGGAGTCCTCCCTCTGCATCTCAAGCCTGGACTCAGGTTGATCACATCGCGATCAGCTACCGCTGGCGTGGTTGTGTAAAAGACTGCCACTGCTTTTGGAGTACCTATCTGGGCTTTGATCATGCCCTTGTTTGCGCCAATCTTACCTTACTTCTCAGTGGCCAACGAAGTGACCGCCACCAACGGATTGATGTCAGCAAGTTGGTAGCAATTTCACGACGCCATGAAAATGGCGGGTACAGTCAGTTGTGGGTTCGCGAAACGTCCCGCTTATAAGCACTGGGTTTCTTCTGATTCCTTACAACTCACTGAAGCCCGTCGGTCTACTCCGGGTGACCGTGAGTTTGACCACAAACGAAGGATGTTATGTCATAAAATTGGGCAAAGCTTGCATAAGGACCGAGAAGCCTGGTGGTCGGAGCGTGCTAATGAGCTGGAAGCAGCATCCGCATCTGGTAATTACCGGAAGCTCTTCCAACTCATCCGAGCCACTGGCAGCAAGAAGTCTGGTGTGAGTGAAACAATCTGCGAGGATGACGGGATGTCAATCACTGACATCCATCGACGTCTTGGACGATGGGCAGAATTTTTCGAAGGGCAGTTCAACTGGCCTGCTGCTCAGGCAACATCGGTCAGACTGTCCTGGCCTCCATGGCCGGTGACAATTGATCCACCAAATGAGGCGGAAGTCCGCAAGGAACTCCAACTCTTGAAGCGCTACAAATCACCTGGCCCAGATGACTTACCTCCGGCTCTTTTTAAAGATGGTGGTGACTTCCTGGTTAAATAACTGACAACGTTGTTTACAAAGGTTTGGGAGCTAGAGAGTGTACCAACGTCATAGAATGAGTCAATAGTTGTCCCTATCTTTAAAAAGGGTTCACGTCGTTTCTGTAACAAATATCAGGGGATAAGTCAACTTCCGATCGCGTCCAAGCTATTGGCTTCCGTCATACTTCGTAGGTTGTTCAAAACTCGAGAAAGATTGACTCTCGAGGAGCAGGCTGGGTTTCGTTCTGGTTGAGGATGTATTGATCATATCTTCACCCTCCGCCAAATGTTAGAACACCGTCATACTTATCACAGTCCAACAATCGTAGTGTTTCTTGACATCAGGGCTGCCTTCGATTCGTTGGACAGGACTGTTCTGAGGGACTGTCTATTGAAGAAGGGTGTTCCTGAGAAGTTAATTAACATCTTAAAGACCCTATATACAAACAACTCAGACAGAGTGACGGCGTACAACTACCTCTCTTCATTGTTCCATTCGAGCAGTGGGGTTAGACAGGGTTGCCCAATCTCACCACTCCTCTTCAACTTTGCCATCGATGACATTCTGGAAACAGCTCTGATGGTTGTAATTAATGGCAGTGTGGATCGGTTGCCTGGAGAAAGACTTCTCGACCTTGAGTATGCGGATGATATTGTCTTACTCTGTGATAATGTCCAAGTCATGAAATCCGCACTTAATCAGTGGTCAATCAATGTCCGTAGGTACGGTATGTGCTTCGCACGTTTGAAGTGCAAAGTACTTCTACAAGACTGTCAGGATTCTAATTCTGTACTCACTCTGGATGGTGAGCAGATAGAAGTAGTCTAGAAGTTTGTGTATCTAGGTAGCTGCATAAGTGCTGGTGGGGGTGTGAGTGATGAGATCAATGCACGTATGGTGAAAGCTGGAGCGGCTTAGGCCAATCTGCGCCATCTTTGGCGCCTTCGTAATGTCAGTCTGGCTGTAAAAGGTCGGACCTAAAACGCGTCGGTGAGAGCAGTTTTGCTCTATGCTTGTGAAACCTAGCCTCTCCGAGTTGAGGGTGTTACACGACTCTCTGTGTTTGATCATCGTTGTCTCCGAAGGATTGCTGACATCCAGTGGCAACACCATGTCAGTAATGCAGAGGTTCGGCATCATGTATTTGGGCGCAGAGACGATAATTCAATTGGTGTCATCATCCTGAAACGTCGACTTCGGTGGCTTGGATATATTCTACGAATGTTGTCCCAGAGAATCCCACGTCGTGCATTACTTGCCGACTCTGGGACTAGTTGGAACAAGCGGAGAGGTGGTCAGTGCATGACATGGTGTCGGGGTATGAAAGAAAGCTGCACGGGACTGGCTTCTGTTGGTCTTTCACGACTCCCTTGCTTAGGTCGGAGAGATGGTGCAACACAATTGCTAGAGACGTTATCAGATATGGCTCAGAATAGAAGCCAGTAGCGATCCTACTGTGAACTTCTTTTACTTTCTTTATAAAAAATGGTTGTACCTTCCTTAACTGAAAGAATTCTTTCTGGTTGTACCTTTCCGTATCCCCCATTATTATTATTATTATTATTATTATTATTATTATTACACTTCCTTAAACTAAGCTGGTCCTTATTGTTCCTCTTCTTTTTTTCTCCCCATTTTCATTGTTTTGTGTGGCGCATAAATATCTGGTTCCCCCTTGTACCAATAATTATGTGTTCAAATAAATAAATAAATATATGATTATTTCGGAAAGTGTTCATAATTTTTCTTTGCTGGTATCCAGGACTATAGTTCATCAGTCTCTATTACGCAATGCATATCGTAAGAGGATTGTCTTGATAAAATGTTGTCACAAGTTTTGATATATTTATTAATGTAGCTAACAGTACAACCCAGAATGTGCATTTCATTTCACTTACAGTTTTAGTCATAATATCAACACAAGAATACAAGTACATCCATATGAAAAATCTCGAATAGCCAGGTATCAATCATACTAACAAGTATATGTTTGTTTAAATAATATTCAAAATTAAAAAAAAACACTATATAACACTAAAAACTAACTTGATCGTGAAATTTTGCATTTTTTCCAATTCAAATTTGAAATGGCTTTCTAAATCATCAGGTTTGATTTCATTTTGACATACTGGACAAATAAATTGATTGATGATTTCTCCTATACAAAACAAGAAGAGAACAGAAAATAATCACGAAAGAATTTATGTATAATGAATTATTGGTTGAACTTAGACATTAACACCGTTGGAGGCCGGCTCAGTGGTCTAGTTGGTTAAGCGTCTGGCGCGAGATTGATAGGTCCTGGGTCCGAGTCTCGCGGGGGCGTGATCGTGGGTGCGCACTGCTGAGGAGTCCCATACTAGAGCGAGACGGCCGTCCAGTGCTTCCGGGTTTTCCATGGCGGTCTAGCTTCAATTGACTCATGATTTCAACCAGTGAAATATTATGAATTATGTTTAGTTTTACTGACTTTAAATTTAAATTTCATGAAGATGATGAAAGAATTTTATGTACTTTTAAATGACAAACTATAATACGACGGTAATTACTTAATATAAGATGCCAAAATACTGGCTGATCTATACTTTTCTCAACGTCTTAGGATTTTTGGCTATTCTTCTTAAAAGTACCAAGTTTGAGTGATTTTTCTTAATCATACTGTAATTACTATATAGTCGGATGGATGAGATTTTGAATGAAGAAATGATTATCCTAACTAAATAGTCATTGAAAACCACAGTGAAGCAAATTAATTTATCCCTGCAAACCATCTATGCTAAAAAAATATCCATTTTTTCTGTATCACTAGGGGTTTACAATAACAGATATTGATAAATTATATTTCTGATTAATAAAAATGGGAAATTACAAATCCCTATCAATACCTTCATACATGCTGATTATGTCAATGGCTATTTGATCTCATGCGATAAAGATTTAATGTAATGGGAGTTTAGAGTAAAAAATACTGGGTTTGAGTCTCAGTGTGAGTATTAACACTGAGATGCATATGAATCAAGTTGATAAACTGGAAATGGGATGAAACAGGCTTCGTCCATTCCCCCTCTAGCTTAATACCATCTTATTATTGAATATTTGGAGAAAATTCAACTTATTATTATCATATTAAGAATCTGATGGCTGAAAACTTAAACAAGTCACTGTTAAAAAAAACTTATCAGATATAAAACTTTTTCTTCCTATCCAACATTGTCATTAACAATTAATTCAATTCAATATCACATCTAAACGTCTCACAAATACAAACACAAATGTTAAGCTAATGTATTTATAATAGCAAGTGTCTTCGAGCAAACTGCAGGACTTAGCACTTATATTCGCTTTAAATCCACTACATGGTATACTTTCAGCTGTATAGTAATGCATATCTCATTCAACATTTAAAGTTGAATGCCTTTATACCATTACTAGATATATTAAAACATCGCTTATTGTTGAATATATAGCACAATGGCCTTGATTACAATATTATAAAATACTGAATATTTTGGAAAGTTGTATATATATCTTGGTATTGATTGTCAACAAATGTGACGTATGTCCAGGAATTAAGGTTGTTTCCCTTCATTCATTTTCGTTTCTCACTAAATCAATATGAAAAGCCGACATAAGTAACTTTTACTAACGTTTACAATATAATTCACCTTTCTTATTAGAATTCGCATCACGGAATGGATCTTAGTTAAACTATCATTGAAAACCAGTAGGTACTAGACAGCTTTCTTGTTCTAATATGGGAATCTACAGCAACCCAAACCTATCGTTCACGTGGGATTGAATCCAGTATCTTCAGTCCTTGCAGTGAACACCAAACTATTAAATCACTAGATTGGGGTCTCACTCCAACTGCAGTCAGTTTATGATATAACTTAACAATTATCCACGGTGAGGTAATGGGTGTGCACTGCTGTTCCATTCGAGCATGAAAGTTTAAGTAGTTGTATTCACAAGTTAGAATGTGTGTTTAAATGTCAAGGAAGAAAAAGGTGTCGCCAATGGCATTCGATGACTCACAGTTCATTGATCACTGGGTGGTGATCAATGTCATGTGTGTTAAGTCCTTGTTAGTGCAGATCGAATGCTATCGACAATGTTGCAATGTATCCACCAGTCTAGGTGACTCGACATTGTGTGCACTATGTTGATATTAGATGATGGTTGGAGGTGGTCGACAGGAGATCCTGGACCCGGGTTTCGTGCTACTTGGCACTCGTCAGCAATGTGTACCTGTAATGTTGAGAGAACTGGTGCTTCCTGATGGATTCGATCCCGTGTCACCCAGCTTCACAGTCAGAGACGTTACCACTGGGTTATCCGGGCCACGACCGACCTCCTCATAAACCGAGTGGGGTTGAGATTAACCCATTGGACACCGACCCAGTGGTTCCCACAGTAAGGCGCTAACCATGAGAACTGAATGTCGTGATTTTGATTCCTTGTGTGGTGGTGGGGACTCACTGTTGAGCAGTCTCGTACTAGAAGAAAATAGCTATTCATTTCTTTCTCATTTTTTATGCTTACTCAGCTGAAACTAATCTATGTTGAAAGTAACTGAAAAATTAAACCAATCTCTTCACAACATTTTCAACGAATCTATCCCATTGTATAGTAGTGTTTATGATCCAAAACATTACAACATATATTTCACTCTATCTTCAGTGAAGTTGTCTATATTTTTATGAAGTTTGATAGCGATCCGAAAAAGAAACTAAATATGACTGAAAGGAATTTTCCTACAAATATTTGTTTTGTTTCTGCATACTTCTTTAAATGCACAGTGATTTTACACACATGTTTATGCTAATACAATATCCAATGTTTTGTGTTTCTTTGTTTAAATGAACACTATTTGTTTAATACTTTACAAGAAACAAAAATTCCACTCAAACTTTAGCAGTTTCTAGTGCATTTAAATTCTTAGAAAGAAGGCATGCGAACTGTATCAATTACCATGTGTCATTTTATGTTTCTATGGCAACAAGATGGGAATATATACATGTTGAAATAAAGTGAATGTTATGTACCGGGTAAACTATGTGTACTGATCCCATCAATCAGAGAAAAACTGTCAATGAAACTGGTCAATTCTGGGAAAAATAAAATAGATTGATATTAGTGCACAATGATAATTTCCGATGTATTTTCGAAATATAAGTTTAACTCATCAGTTAAAGTATACAGAAGTCTAACTATCAATCATGGAAATATAAATAATTTACCTGGTTCCATCATTTGATTATTAGAAATAAATCTTGTTTAATTATTACGAACTTTTTCACATGCACTTCTAGAGGTTGATTATCAGGGAGTATTCAGAGGAAACAGAGTGTTGTTTTAGTTTAGACTGTCAGTATGATCATAAAAATTCCATAATGGAAAAGTGGAATGTGAATCTGACCTTGTGTTCCAATTTGTCTAGTTTGACAGTTATTTTTCATATACCTGGACATCTTGATAAGTTATTGTATGATCAGACTGTTCGAACTGTATTACGCTAATATACTGTATAATTTAGAAAAAACATTTCCCAATTACATTATCTTTATGCACATATCTCCTTATTTGAGCTCTACTAAATGACTGAATGTATTGAATTTGTCGGTCAACTTTTCAAGCAACAATAAGCTATCGCATTATGATAGTATTCGTCATATCAGTATTAGTTGTGTATAAAATCCGTTGTATTAGCAATATGTTTAATCAGTTCTTGTGGGAACACGAAGTATATTCTGTCAGAAATAGATTTCAAAAGGTAAGGTTAGTAGTCAACCGAGATAATGTGAATATAAGTTATTTATGGAATAAAAACGCATAAATTAAGGGTGAAAATGAAACTCAAGGAGTAGTCAGTGATACTTTACATTCATCTATCAGTAGTCTGAATGTTAAGCGTTCGTGCATGAGACCGAAGGTTTTGGGTTCGATTCGTGTGTGTAGGGTAGTGGATGCGCACTGATGAGGAGCCCCATACTAGGTCAAAACGGTCGTCCGGCTTCTCCATATTATCACTGGCTATCTAACTAACATGGATCAGTTCGTGATTTCACCAAGACTCAATAATCCCCACAACCCCTTACTGACGACAGTAAAAAGGATTCGCCCTTGTTCATTAAATAGCCGTGAATAAATTTTAAAAAAAGCTTTTAGTGTTCCAAGCCTTTGTATTTTACAACGGACGTTTCATTTTAAAATTGTATCTCATCTAACTCAATCCATTTTCGATGCAAACCTGCCAGTTGACTTCATATATTTCTAGAAAATATTTAACATTTATGCATAGCTCTACATTTCTTCATTCGTTATTTCTTTGTTTCATGCATTCTATTGGATTATAGTTACTGTGAAATGTCATTAAAACACATTTGGTTATAAGATACATAACTGGCAGATAACTTGAGCGAACTAATTAGTAGTTGTATGAGTTCCTTTTTTATTAATCACTTAAATGGTTTGTGTAGGTGATGATTGATGACAGAGTTAAATTAGTGACAAAATTTCTTTTGTCTCAACTAAATAACTAACATGTAAGTTCCTCGTTACAGAATATATGTGGTGAACTTTTGAGTACAGAACTAAGGCTGTTCAAAGTTCCCTGTGCATAATTGGTTGTAAAATCAATGATAACAGAATTGTACTTTGGTCGTCTAATAAAAACTTCATACGCCCTGAATAAATTATCCAATGAAGATTCAGTAAAATATATTTAGTAAATACAGGTATTGGTTTTGGTTAGGGAAAATAGTATCTAAAGTGGAGGAAAACATTTTTCATACACCTTTTAGATGAAAATAAATACAGACAAATATGTCAGTGACAAACGAGTAATGAAAAGAAATATAATGGTAATTTATACAACCACCCCTTTATAACCTTCATTTTTATATATGAACCCGTATCTTTGTATATATATATATAAGGCATAATTCACTATTAAATCATCAGTTTATAACAATCAAAC